TTGATGATCAAAGTTTAAGTAAAATGAGTTGTTGATGCAAATCAATAAAATACTTTTTAATGCATTAATCTTGTAAATTTTGATTCTTAATCTTATCTTCGTGAGAAAAATTGAGGAAATGTTTGAATCTGCAATTTTAATTGTTTTTGAAAGTCGTTAATGTCCTGTTTCGAGTTGAACTCAATCATAAAAAATCCACAGTTCAAAAGATTCAAAAGAATCATCAATAATTAAAGGCCACAAAGTTCATTACGCCTTAAAAACGTTGTTTTCCTAAAATAAAATTAATCTTTTGTTTACAAAAGTCGTCACATTATAATCCGAGTTCATCCATCATTTAATTCTCAGCTTAAGAAAATATTTGATTGAATTAAATGAAGCGCAATCAAAAACACAAAACTAATGGCTTAATTAAAGCAGGTTCATCTTAAAACGGTAAAAAAATTGTAATATTTCATTCCAATTAGAGAAGATTAACAGTTTTACTAATGCAACGACCACTCAATAAATAACAATTTTTACGAACTATAAAGATACTCAAATCGTTCAAGTTCAATAGATGCGATTTCACCTCGAGAAATAATAAAAAAAATCAAAATCTGTTTCAAGTTTAAGTCCAGATTTCCGTGCTTTCCGAAAGAGAATCTCATTTTATAGTCGTAAAAAACTCATTCAGAATAGATCAAAAGGTGGTCGTAAAAAAGAAAAGATTCGACTATAATTCATTCATCGAAAAAAATGGAGATTATGCCTAATAAGTCATTTAGAAATCGAATCTTTTATTCATGGGGATTTTTAGATTTTTTTCTATTAATTTAAAATCGTTTTGAGATTTTTTTGGCGAATTCAAACCCACAAAAAAAATTGGCAATTCTTTCGAGATTTATTCAGTTTTGATTATTCGAGTGAATCCGAGAAGAATATGACTACATGGAAGTGTTCAGATGGTTTTATGAGTGCGAATATTGATAACATCCTAGAATTTGATTGCTCAAACTCAAAGTGAATGTTTCAAACACCTTAACATAAATATTAAGCAGAGTTGCGAAACAGGCACCTGTGACAGGTGAGAACCCTACAATTTCTTGATAATTTATAAGGTTTTTCTAAAAAAACCATACAAATTATCAACGAATTGAAGGGTTCTCATCGGTCACAGGTGGCCTGTTTCGCAACTCTGATATTAAGTATCCTTACAAAAGCCTGTACCTTTGCTAAGAATATTCCATTAAGATTCATGCTAGTTGCTCAATCTGCGCTTCACCACTGCTCATATTTGACTCGGTTACCCTTTAAAACTCATTCAATATCAACCTACAAACGATTTCAATTCCATTCATATATCCAAAATTCAGCAACAGATTAAACGAGCATATAATTTAGAGGTACAACTCTCAGTCAACCAATGGATGTGTTAAATCATTATTATACTTCTCATTGTTGAATAAACACAAATTCAATCGTCATGACGTGAATTGTCGATGTTTAATGTTTAACTGTACATGCTTAAATTCTTGAGAATCGATTGCGGAAACAAAATTTATAAACACATTATAGCATGCGAATACCTGAGCAGCTAAGTAATTGATAATAAATTCTCTAAATGTGCTGCTTTCTTTCTCATTATTGCATGATTATGGACCGAGCAATTTGCTACAAATAAATCATTAAGTAATAAAAAATTATTTTTTTTTTGTTGATCATGCAAAAATAAAAAGACTTGTCATGGCCTCGACACATTTTGTAATCTGTTCATTCGAATGGCAAATCTCATGCGAAAATAAATCCCAGATATAAATAGCGAAGAAAGCCCTGATTTATCATCAAGACTATAAATTTTGGGGCAAATTGCTTAAAAGTTATGAGAATATTGAAATAATAGTCATAGAAATATTTTAATTGAAGCAATTTGTCATTAGGATTGTCATCTGTTCTGGATTGTTTATTATTGTGCTAAGTGGAGTTTTCGGGAATTTTAAGTGGTTGCGATTGGATTTTTTGATTGTTTTGTGTTCTTGGGAAATTAGCTAACATTCTACTAGGTTCAATATGGCTCGACTAGGCTCAAAAAGGCTCGACTAGACTCGACTAGGCTCAAATAGAACCAAATACGCTCGACTAGGCTCAAATAGAACCAAATACGCTCGACTAGGCTCAAATAGAACCAAATACGCTCGACTAGGCTCAAATAGGCTCGACTAGGTTTGACAGGTATCAACTAGGCTCGACTAGAGTTGATCAAATTCGCTTACTTTCGGCTAGGCTCGAGTAAGCTCATCTTGACTTCTCTAGACTCGATTAGACTCGATTTAGCAAGTTTAAAAAGTGTCTATGTCTTTAAATGTTCCTAAAATGAAGCAAACACAAATCTTACCTTGCTCCAATTCTTCTATTATCACAACACTCAGCTTATCTCCTCAAAAAAACGTTAAAATTCCTCATCAAAAATAAAAATAATTTTTTGCGAATTCCTCAAAAAATAATAAACAACTTTATAATAATCTCAAAGCTCCTAAATTCCTCACATTCACCCCATAAAAATTCTATCAAATTCAATATATCTGCCAATTAATCTAAATTATAAACAGGCTTTATTATTTGAGAGTCAAAAGGTCTCGAATGACGAAAATTCATAAAACAGAAATTGAAATTCCTGACAGGCGTTTTGAGAAAAATAAATTTCATCACCCACTAGAAATTATTTTTTACTCCATTCCACGTCAGTGTCTAGGAGGTGCTTATTTTTATATTATTTTGAATTTTTATTAAGATATTATTGAGTTTTATTGGGTTGTTTACTTATGATGTCAATTGTTTGGAAGGATGGGGGGTTGTAGTATCTGAGTGGGATGGAATCTGGGCTATTAAGTCAGATATAGAAGAATCTGTCAGTGCTTTAGTAAGGCCTTTGGTTGGACAACACAGCTCTCTTCTGTTAAGGATGTAGGTTCGATTCCTACTATTGATCTGTATTAATAGAGTCAATGTGATAAAGATTCTAATTTGATATCTGGATCACAAAGGCTTCTTTGGGAAGGCTTAGATCCTTCTTAATTGAATAAGCAACCCAATTAGATTAAAAATCTTAATTATCGCCCAAGAAAATGAAATGAAAAGTAATTTTTCAACAGCACAAAAAAAAATAAAAAATTGCAATCTTGAACTTGATCTATGCGATCTCGTCACGTCTTGAAATTGAATTGTGCCAAGTGCGAGCACGTTTTACAGGCAAAAGAAGAAAAGAGTAAAGCAAAGCATGTTTAATATTTCATCGTAAGTGACGCAAAAAGTCATGAAAAATTTCAATTTTCCACTCGACTTGACGAAAAACAACAACAACAAAAGTTGTACAGCACGCTTTCTTGTTTTTCTCATCGAATCTTTGTTTTTCTTCAAGTCCGATGAGAATATTTGGTGGAAAATTAATTTGTCGAGCATCTGGCGTTTCATGTTTGCTACATGAGGAAGTGAGCTGTTAAGAAGGATGAAAATTTGTGAAGAAGAAATTTCAACGTGACTGATCATGTTGCTGAATTACTTATTATATTTACTGAAATCCTATTTATCTAAAAAGGTCTTGACTTCTGCTACAAATTGAGCTTCCCGATTGTGCAATGCTTCTATTTACATTTTCAGATGTGCACAATGCTTCTATTTACATTTTCAGATGTGCACAAATTGGTTTCATCTGCGCTCCTAAAAATACACGAACGGAGCACATTTTATTTTATATTCGACTGTTGCTGCATCCACATAGCTGAACAAAAATATTTCAAATATTTCTTCTTGCTTCCCCGCTGAAAAAAAAAATCATTTACATTCGCTAAAATATTTCAAATTTTTTTAATTGAATGAAATTTTTATTTTCATTTTCTTCTTCATTCATGCCTGCTCTGTCTCACTTCCTCAATATATATTATTTTTGTGTGTTTTCTGCTTCTCTTTAACGCATATCTCGTGATGTGATGTCTTGTCAGACTTTTTGACATGTGAAATTATTTTGCGGTAGGAGAGATGAAAAAAAATTTACACTCATCGGTCAGATCGGTGTGTATTTGGATGGTATTAATGAGATGTGATGAAATTCATGAGCAGCATTTCATTAGCTACTGAAGTTTCTATTGATTATTGGCAGTGTGGATTTTTTTTGTGTGTGTTGATCGATGACAAGTTGGAAGAGGATTTTGGAATAGAAGGTTTTTTTTTCATAAATTGTAGCATTGAAATGGATTGGAATTTTTGGAATCATGTCATATGGAGTTGACTTATGTAGCCATATTTAAGTGATATCTTCAAGTTTTTGAAAATAGTCTCAACTGCTTAGTTGTTGTACAGCTGACTCAAAAGACAAAAGCTATTTGCCTTCTAGGTGTGAGTTCGATTCCTATCACCTTCAAGAATTTTTCTATAAGATTAAAATTGGCGACATTCAGCTACGACAGTTGATTAACTTAGGACATATCTTTACATAAATAGTTCATAGCCAAAGTCATCTTATGTTCGCCAATAAGTCACAAAATAGAAATTTTCCTTAGTCACATAGTCAATCCTCCTCAAAATATCACATTACTGACCTCAATGACTACAAAATTTCAAACTTCATCTACTGAAATTGTATACAAAAAAGTTACAATGTCTTTATAGTATCAACTTACCCTACTTCCTCAAATAAATTAAAAATATCAACAAAATAAGCAGAAAAGCGTTTATAACTGCTGCAAAATGTGTGCAATATGATAATTAAAGGCATTTAAAATTAATTAGAAAGCTGATAACAAAGCAGCTCTGTAATTAAATAAAGTTATAGAGAACAAAGAGCACCAGAAGATCATCTAGACAAAGCGTGTTAATTAAAATCAAAACACAGTAAAATAGCGTATGCTTAAAAATGTGCCTGAATCTGAATGGACGTGTGTGAAAGAATTTATAAACAAAAATGATCCGCAAAATATTCTGAAATTTTCTCACGATTTATATTTCCTCTTTGTGTCTCATTCCAGGATGAGGAGCCAGTTGAAGCTGGTATTTCTCCTCATTGGGGTTGTGGCTTGCGTGGTACACGCTACCACAGAACCAAATTTGAAGGACAATGAAATCTTAAAAGACGATATAAAGCCAACAAAACGTGAATCAAAGCTTCTCGCAGCACAGGACCCACGCCTCAATAAAATGATTCAATTACCCAAAGACAATCAATTGGATGGAACAACCAGCACAAAGGGAGAGAAGAAAATTTCAAAATCATCAACTGAGAAGGCATCTGTCAAGGATGATGCGTTGAGTAAGTTGGAATGATAAGTGGCAGAGTTGGTGGATATGTTTTTGAATGAAATTGGGATATTAAGATCTTTAGTCAACCTCTTAAGACATCTAGATACACTTTAACTCTAATTTTTGATCTAGTCTAGGTGTAGTTTCACTAGATACTCTCTGATTATTGTTTAAGACACCTATAAGACCCTTTGAGTATGTTCCTAAAGGATATGGCGTAACTTGAAGGTCCAATAAGTTAAATACAACATAATAAGCTAACATACATACCGCCACCTCTGTCAAATCACTCAAGAATATGCACATTAATTAAAATTTCTTTCAATTATCATTTCCAGCATTTAAGAATGATAAGTTGGAGGGCGATTTGATTAAAGACATTTCACATGCCGACATTGGAAAAGACGATATTGATAATGTCGATGCCACTTATGATGATTATTATGATGTAAGTTAATTAAGCTGTCAAACTTTAAAGTCAAGCTTATTAATCAATCCATTAATATATTTATTTTTAGGATGAGGGCGAGTTCTCAGATGAGGATGATGACGATGACGATCCAAGTACTGGAAATGATACAAATACGATCAGTAATAACAACACTAATAGTACGAATAATAATGAGACAAAACCAGTTACTAACAAGACTGCTGACAAAAAGACAGATGATGACGAGTTGATCGACGATGAGTACAACGACAATGAAGGAGAAGAAGACTCAGATGACGAGCTAGAAGAAGACGATTTAAATATCGATGCAAATAAAATTGAAATGAAACAGTGTCCACGTGATTGTATATGCGAGAGAAACATGCACGCATATTTTGTTGCCACATGCAGTCGTCTCGACTTGGAGACTCAATCATTTGCCAATCTACCGATTACTGATCTTCAAGTTATTGATATTGGACCACAATTTCCAATTGTACTTGGCGTTGAATTCTTTAAGAAAATTGGCTTGGAAAATGTCACTTCCATTAAGATTGCAAACAGCTCAATTGAATACATTAGTCCAAGTGCCTTCAATGGACTCAATGAATTATATTCAATCAACTTGACGAGCATTGGAATTGATTTAATTCATCCAGACACTTTTGCTAACAACACCAAATTAAAGATATTGACACTTTCGGGAAATAATTTGAATGTAATGCAAAGTCTCTCATCTCCATACACTGATTATATGCTCAAATCACCATCAATTGAGGAACTTGACATTTCAAATTGCAATATGCAAGCTTTCTTGCCAACAGCATTCAGTCAAATGAAAAATATCATTTATATTAATTTGGCCGGAAATAAATTGGAAACTTTGCCAGAAGGACTCTTTGACAGAACAGAAACTATTGAGGAATTGGACTTGTCATATAACAAGATTGTCACTTTACCAAAGAACATCTTTAATAAGACATCTCTCGGAATTTTGCATTTGAAATACAATGAAATTGTCACAAACTTAGAATTCATCACTAAGGATGTCCAAAAACTTGACATTAGCTACAACAGAATCACAACAATCAACAATCAAATGTTCAAAAATATGGAAAATCTAAGCTTCCTCTCATTGAAAGGCAACAAGATTAAGAGAATCAATCCAGCTGCATTTGTACCACTCAAGAACCTTCGTCATGTTGACTTGTCATTCAATGATCTCGACTCACTCAGTAGCTTAACATTCTTGAAGAACTCTGACTTAGAAGTCATCCGTATCAATGACAATATTAGACTCAAGACACTTCCAGCTGATGGATTTGAAACAAATGCCAAATCCTTCCATGTCTTCTTATTCGACGCATCTAACTGTGATCTTTCAAATCTTGGCGAAAATACATTCAAGACAATGCCATTCATCACACGATTGTCATTGAGCGGAAATAACATTGAAAATATCCCAAAGAACTTGTTCAGGTGAGTTTACAGCTGGAAATCATGATTTTTAAAAAGACTAAATGTTTAATTATGTTTTCAGTCCATTGCTTCGCTTGATGGACCTTGACTTGAGCAACAACTTGATTGCCAACTTGAACCAACAAATCTTCTGGAACAACCAGGATCTCCAAATGGTAAGATGAATTAAACTCTTTAATTAGTCAAAATCTAACATTTTTCTTTGTAGCTTAATCTCGCAGCAAATCCATTGGAATCACTCTCACCAAAGATCTTCCAAGCAACACCATATTTGCAGAAATTGGACGTCAGTGATTGTGATTTAGTCACATTATGGCATGACTCTTCAATGAGCATTCGTGTAGGCGAACTTTTGAAGAACTTGAAAGTGTTTAATGCATCAAATAATGACATTAAGAACATTTATGCTAGCGATTTGAGTGTAAGTAGCTACTTTGAATGTCTTGAAGCAGTTCTGATTATTAATTATTTTATTATTGCAGACCATGAAGAACCTCAAGGTCTTTGATTTGAAGAACAATCCATTAGAATGTAATGATGAATTTAGAAACCTAATGAAATTCTTGGGACAACGAAAGGTAAATTGACATTGATGTTCTTTGGACCAAAATTTTACAAATTAATTTATTTTACAGATAAGTCTTGGAAACCGCAACAACTTTGGCGAATTAGAAGAAATGAAAATGTCATTCTCAGAAGAAATGAGTCCAGCTGTTGAATGGAATGAATTAGCACGCAAAATTTGCAAACGAAATGAAGAAAATAAACTTAATAATGAACAAGTTTTAGATGAAATCAATGACGATGATTATGATGACATTACTGACGATAATGACGATGATGACGATGACGATGATGATAATGACGATCCAGATGATAAAGCAATCGAAAAACCAAAAGAAAAAGTTTCAACTAAAAAGCCAATTGTTCCATCAAAAGCACCAAGAGAAAAATCAACAGTTAAGCCCAAGACAACAACAACAAGTACAGCTTCGCCAGCAGTCGTTGACTCAAATAATGAAAATGATACATCAGAAGGAGAAGATGAATACGAATATAACGAAAGCGACGATGATGATGACGAGGATCAAGAGAACGAAAGCATTTCTGAAAAACCAGATAAAAATCTTTTGCCTAAAGTCATTGATGTCATTAAGAAAGTTGAAGATCGTATCTTTGGTAAGATTCTTGAAACTTAATCATTAAGTATTGGAACTAATTCAATTTAAATTAATTTTAGGTCGTCCTAAATTCGATAATGATGAAGAGGAAGAAGTCATAATCGAAGAAGCAGTCGTACCATACAAATTTATCTGGCCAATGATGATTGTCATGCTCAGTATTCTTACCGTATTACTAATTATAATGTTCATTATTTCATCATGCATGCGTCGACGTGGTGAACGCTACCGTCAAGCCTTGTTACAGTCAAAGAAAAATTCAATAATTTATCAGAAATTATCAGAGGAGATAATCCCACAAACCCCAAGAGTACATCGATACACTCCAATTGCACAAGTATAAAATATACAAATTCTTTAAACGTCCATTCTTCAAAATTGAATGGAGTTGTGCCTTCAACTTTCTTTATTTTGAGTTTTTCTTTTTATTAATCATAAAATATTATTATTTCGAAATGAGCCTTTAGGGAGTGTTTTGTGGTGATTATTATGGATGTGAGGGATTGTTTTTGAGTTGATCAAGTTAAAAAGATTGATGAAGGATGGATTATCTGGGATTATCAACTTCCAGGTTGCTTCAAGATTTTGAACTCAGTCTTAGTGCTGTTGTTCTTTGAAACTTCTTTGATTCTCTAAGCAACAATGTTCACTTATTATTAGTACCAACTTATTAGAGAATCCAGCATTCTGTTTCCATTTAGGGACTAAATTACAGTTTACTTCCAATTTTAACTATTCAGTGCTGATTAAATATCAAAAAGGATAAATTTTGATGGTCTTGAAGCTTTAACTTGCATTAAAATCATTAAATTCACTAAAGATAAGCTCTAATAGCTTTAATTATTCAATCTGATCCTAGTGAACTATAAAACAAACTTTCAGTCATAAGACTTTATCAACCTGAATAGAAATTATTCTGATCAAATGATTGAACTCTTTAACAGCATTAAATTTCTAGACTATATGTTTTTTAAGATTTAAATCGATCAATTCTTAAATAATCCATCCAAAACTCAAGACTTCCCCGCAACATTCACTCAACACCACAAGATCAATAAATGAAGCAATTTGTAAATGAAAAAAAAAAAAGGCTTTTGTGATTCAGTCTATTATTTTATACAAAAAAAAAATAATCAGCTTTTATAGAATGAAAAAAAAAATATGCGAGAAAAAAAAACTTCATAATTATGCTACAACATATACTAAAAATCTTTTTATCTTGTAGATGAGTACTTAAACACAATTATGGTACATATATACATATAACACTGATAAATTGCCCGATAAAAAAATGAAAATATTTTTCACGTTGAAACAAACTAATGAATAATTAATTAATAATTAAACAGCAACAATAATATTTTTTTGTGGTAAGGAGGTTGGTTGGAGTGGGATATGTTGATTATTAAGTCATGATTCAGTAATTTTGAAGCTAGTTTTTGAAATATCCTAAGATTAAGCTTCAAATAGTGCTGAATCAAGAGATTTAAATCCTCACTTATGCTTGATATATCAACTAGCTACTCCAATCACCTACTTACTAGACACTGAATTGCTCTATAGAGTCAGTCACTTATCAAATCTGTCAAAAAATAAATAATTCAAACCCATTGTCTTCCTTAATGTCACTAAACCTGATTCTCCAAGTCATAGAGTGCAACTTAGCATCAGACACAAATCAACCCCACCCCTTTATAAAACCAGCACAAGTGACTGACTCCAATGGACAAATTATTATTATTATTATTTTATACATAAAAGTTTATTCTACTTAGATATTAAAGGATGTGCTTGAAATACAAAAATTGAAATATTTAGACGAAAAAAGTTTGTAAAGTTCAACAAAAAAAAATTAAAATCATAAATTTTAAGATTTTTTTTTTCTTCTTATTAGACATTAAAACTTTCTATAAATTTAACATTCCTTCTTTAAAAAAATCTATTTAATATTTTTTAATAAAATGAGGTGGGAAAAATCAGGACTTAAAGAATGTATCATGAATCGTGCCATTTGTCGAGGATTATTTTCGCAAGCATTTAGGAGAAAAATTTCATTTAGGCAGCAAAACAAAAAGATAAGCAGGAATAATTTTGGAAATACCCAGTCTCACTTAGTCCTGAGAAGAGTTTAAAAAAATAATTAACTTTAATTTTCTTTCGACAAGAGAATAAAAATTAATTAAACTATCTGTATTAAATATATAAAAGAAAATAAATAAAGAATTGAACTTGATAGAGATACAAACAATAATTGATAATAATATGTTGCTCTGTTAGGTAGATGCATATAGACACATAGTTTACGAGAGAAATGAAATGAAAAAAAAACATAAAATAAAATAATTATTCAAGATCGTTTTTTGTAACAGATTTATGTGAAGAATTTTTAAATAAACAAAAATGGAAAAAGCTCAAAATGATTTTTCAATTTTTTTCATTGCAGATCATGATAATAAATGAAAATTGAACGCTGATACGAACAATTCAAGGGTTTCGAAAGTTACAGTTTACAAGTAAACTTGTGAAAATCTCTAATTTGACTGTCTGCCATTCAAAATTCGAAATTTCATCCCTTGCGAGTTCAAAATTTTCGAAAATTAAGTTTTCCATGAAATTTTATATGAAAATGTTATTTAATCATTTAAGATTAAGCATAATATAGCTGAATCTTTTTTTAAAACTTTCAAAAACTCTAGTAAAATTATTAAAATTGTAACGGTTTTTACCAATTGAAATTTTTCGAAAGTGCATATTTTAAAAAACCCTAGACTTTCGAAAAGTAAACGTTACATTCATTTTGTGCTATGTACATATTAATCTGAAAGGTTTTTAAGTTTTTGAATCAAGTTGTTTTACAATTTCTTAGCATTAAGTTCAAAAATGAGATTCAGGGAGAGTTCGGATAAGGTTCAACCTGAAACGAACAATTTATGTTCGATGTTCAATTTAAGTCGAACATAAATTGTTCGTTTCAGGTTGAACCTTATCCGATGCTCAATTTAAGTCGAACATAAATTGTTCGTTTCAGGTTGAACCTTGTCCGAACTCTCCCTGAATCTCCTTTTTGAACTTAATGCCGAGAAATTGCAAAACAATTTGACTCAAAAATTAAAAACCTTTCAGATTAATATGTACATAGCACAAAATGAATGTAACGTTCATTTTTCGTCTCATATCAGGTAACTTTTCGTCAGCCTGCGTGATATGAAAACAGAACAAAATCAATTGTTTACAAACAGAGCTGCGCATTTGCTGCTCTTATCTATAAAATTATTAAAATATTATTTTTAAATTCAAAATGATTCCTAGAAAGAGAGTTTTGGAATTGATGACAGCAATTACTAACGTGTCGTGAGTTTATTGCAATAATTATAACTCTATTCTGTTTGATGATTCATTCCTTAATTGCGACTCAAAATAATCAAAAATTCTAAATAAACAGATGCAGATGTCCAGCACACTCGAGAATCCACGATTCACTGCCATCAAAAGAGACTGCATTTGAGATGGCAACAAATACAGTTCGATTTGGTCCAGGAGTGTCACGAGAAATTGGAATGGATTTAGTAAATATGAATTTAAAGAACATTTGCCTCGTTATTGATAAAAATGTTTCTGGACTTCCATCAGTCAAGACACTTTTCGACTCATTAGCCAAAGAAAAAGTCAGTTTTGATATTTTTGATGATATTCGTGTTGAGCCAACAGATGGAAGCTTCATGAATGCCATAAATTTTGCAAGGAGCAATAACTTTGATGGATTTGTTGCTGTTGGTGGTGGCTCAACAATCGACACTTGTAAAGTCGCAAATCTTTATTCTTCTGATCCTGATGCTGACTTCCTCGACTATGTGAATGCTCCAATTGGAAAAGCTAAGGAACTGACGGTCAAATTGAAGCCATTAATTGCACTACCAACAACTTCTGGAACTGGAAGTGAAGCAACTGGAATTGCAATTTTTGATTATAAATCTTTAAAAGTTAAAACTGGAATTTCTTATAAAGCATTAAAGCCAACTCTAGCACTGATTGATCCCCTTCATGTCTTGTCACTTCCAGAAAAAGTTGCAGCTTATTCAGGTTTTGATGTTTTCTGTCATGCATTGGAAAGTTTTACAGCCATTCATTATACGGAAAGACCAGCACCAACAAATCCAAAACTTCGACCACCTTATCAAGGTTGCAATCCAATTTCTGACTGCTGGGCTCGATTTGCTCTGTCGACACTTCGTGAGAATTTCAAAAGAGCTGTCTTCAATCAAGATGACTATGAGGCACGGTCAAAAATGCATTTAGCATCTGTTATTGCTGGAATTGGATTTGGATCGAGTGGTGTACATTTATGTCATGGACTTAGCTACGCAATTTCTGGACTTGTCCGCAAATTTGTTCCAACTGGCTATTCCGACGATCATCCAATAATTCCACATGGATTGTCTGTTGTTATGACAGCACCAGCTGTATTTGAGTTCCTTGGATCATCATGTCCTGAAAGACATTTAGAAGCAGCAGAACTCCTAGGAGCTGATATTACGAATGCTAAAAGAACCGATGCTGGCCTTATTCTTGCTGATATTGTAAGGAAGTATATGAATGATATTGGAATTGAGAATGGATTGAAATCTTTGGGATTTTCATCTGAGGATGTTGGGAAATTAGTTGAAGGAACATTGCCACAAGAGAGAGTCAATAAAATGGCACCAAAGGCACAGTCAAAAGAAGATTTAGCGAGAATCTTTGAAAATTCAATGTTAATTTATTGAAGGCGTAAAAATTGGCATGAGACTTTAAAATTTGAAGATATGCTGCAGTGTTGCAAATGTAGATGTCTACACTAGATGAAGAATGTAGATTCTTCAATAGTTTTTGTCTAGCTAAGAAACTTTCTTCATAAAGATCGATTCTACATGCAGAAAGAAAAAAACCATCTACATGTAGATTGTGTCTACATGTAGAATCTGTCTACATGTAGATTCGATGTAGATGTCTATAATTCTACATTTTTTTCCAGGTCTACATCAGAGAAGAATGTAGAATCGTATACATCTACATTAAATCTACATGTAGACAGATTCTACATGTAGACACAATCTACATGTAGATGGTTTTTTTCTTTCTACATGTAGAATCGATTTTATGAAGAAATTTCTGTCTCAGAATTTATCTGATCCAGACAAATAGCCAGAATGCAACACTGATATGCTGTGTCAAATTTTTGGAACCATTTAAAACCTTGATTTCTAATAAAATTCATAATTTTACATTGAATGAGACTAAATCTTTATTAAGGTAGTTTTTCTGTATATTTATCTGATTCTAGACTCGTTTTCGGATGCAAGAGATCACGAGGAAGACCGAAGATTTCGTGGATTGGTTGTGTTCAAAAGGACTTTAGATTCCTTAATATCCCGAACTGGCAGAAGGTTTCAACGGATAGAGCTTCAGACGATCTCTAAGTGCGGCAACGGGCCCACGTGCGCCCCAGCCACGAGTAAGGAAGACTCGTTATGACTAAAATCTTTTTCTGATGCCAGTTGAGCCTAAAATTCCAAATTAAGCAACTATTAGAAACCATAAAAAAGGATTCCCCTGAAATGAGCAACATAAAGTATCACAGCAATTACAAATGTATCAAAAACTGAAAAAGCTTCTATAAAAGCTCCAAATAAATGAGAGTCTCAACAGTTCACATCAGTATTAGTGCAGGATCAAGTAAAACAAAAGAAAAAGATCTCTCATTTATTCCACAACAGATTATATTCATCCACACACTCATAAATGCACGAACAAACACAAACAGCAGCAGGTAGCATGAAATATGCAGCATATCTCACAAAACAAAATTGTTATCACTGCTACACATAGTAAATTAACAAAATTGAGCGAGTGCACATTCACAACTACAAGCAGACTCAATCAAGAGCTTACGGAGAAAAAAAAATAAATTTTGTTACAATTTCTTAATCAATTGACGTTTAACTGTCGTGCTGAGCAGATCGTTACTAGTTTTTCGGTTAGAATAAAGTCAAGGAAAAATTAATCAAAAAGAAAATTTAATTGAAAAATGTGACTTTGAGGCGCGTCCAATAATTATTCTTAATCGAAATAGAGCAACAAGTGTCAAATGTGAACCTGTCGTGGGACTGTAAATAAGTTTAAAAAAATATTTTTGTGATAAGCCTTCATTTGATAAGAAATAAAAAGTATTTACACTAAAAAATAGACACAGTCGGTTTAAGCTTAAAGTAAATAAGAAATTCTCATCATCTTTTCGTCAGTTCTGTTCGTTGTGATGAACTCATTTTGGGTCTCATACATGTGAATATCATAAAAGGCACTTAAATTGATCCAATTAATTAACGAGTTGCTGTAAAATATTTCAATCACTGGAATAGACGTGATCGATTAATTCTTACAAAAATAAGTATTACTTTTCAGGTGAGTTGCCTTCGTCTTTTTTTGGTGGTTTATGGTCAGATTTCGAATTTTAATTCATTATAAGTCACAAGTAATTAATACACAATTATTATGAACGATAATTGCTCACTTAACCGAGTCATAATTTTCTTCGTTTTCTTTTCGAAATTAGACTAAGACAGCGATTAATTTTTTTGGATGGAAATCTCTGCATTATCGCTTTTTTTTTTGGTAATTGGTTGGGCTATTAAATCTGCATTTAAAGGCTTTGTGAAACAAAAGTAAACATAAGTCTGCCAATGTTAAGGTTTATGAATTGTTTTTTTGTTGGTTTTGTAAAGTTAAAAGCAAGAAATCTTATTGAATTGTGTAAAATTGTAGGATTAAGGTGTTTATTTAGTCAAACATGGTTTAGCATTCTATAAAAATGACTAGATTATTATTATTATTTATTTTTCGATGTTACCGTCCGAAAGAATTCGTATTTATACATGTTTACTTTTTGCATTGAACATTTTATATCACTTTAGGTGATGTAGATCAAGCTTTCAATTTTCAAATCTAGGTTTCAATTAAATTCAGGCTCGAAGTATCTAAACTTCTGAAAAAGACTCCAATTTGGAAATGGCTAGATTCAAACCGGCAACCTTCGAGTTACCATACCAAATTTGAGTCGAACGACTTTCATATACGACCAGCAAGGCACTTAACTGCTTCAAAATTATGGGTAATAATGCATTTGCTGTTTGAAATACTTGTTTTTTTGTAATTCTTGGAATTTTCATCTAGCAAATATTCAGAATGGACATTAATAATGCAAATCTTTAAGAAATTCAGATTCTAGAAGTGCAATATGTCAGATATGGAATATTTCACCTTCTGAAGATCAATTCCAGTGTTGTAAAGTATCAGACTCTCATTAGACCTTTCAGTTAAGTTGTAGACACCATTAATATTCACAAAAAGTTTATCATTCGAATGATAGACATCATTAATAGAAATATGTTGAAGTTGGGAACTATAAAAATTGCAGAAAAAAATCCAATAAGAATCAGCAACATTGCTGTAATCTAAAGCATTAAAATTTGTTTATTTTAAAAGAATATCCTTAAGGATCATAAATTCTACAAAGAATACGTGTGATAAAATGCAAAATAAGTCACAAAATTGAGAAATTTTCTTTCTCTCACGATCATAACTGAACCTCTTTCCACTAACACAACCCAAACTAGGTAAAAATTTCATAATTTTACAAGGTCATAAAAATCAAAAATTTGTGTATTAAAATCTATTTACTTCTGCTTACTTAATCTGCATAAATAGTTTTTATGTTAATTTTAGGGATTATAGTTTTGTAAGAATACATAAAGCAGTGCATGCACATAAAAAAAGGAAGAATAAAATTTTACAAGTGCAATAAATCTGTCAGTTCGTCTCTTATCTCAACAATAAGCATAAATTCACTTCCATTCATTCTCAAAAATTCTCAAAAAAAAAATATAAATTCAATGCATTTATTTTATTAAGCTAGTCTCATCTCCTACATCACATATTATCACAAATGCATCACATAAATTTGTTTCAATTAAAGTCAGTTCAGAGGCGCAGTGCATGGGATGAAAATGAGCTGTAGCAGCATACATGATCGAAACAATGGAAGCTTAAATTAATTTTTTATTTACAACTTTAAAATGCCAATAAATTCTTCAATAAAACATCGAATTGATGTATCTATAAATTAATTTGCGAGATCTATAGAAAATATGGTTGGAACTGCGTCAATGTCATGAAAAATGTTTCATTTTTGGTGCTGTGCGATTTTCTTGATTTCTTTTTATTTGGAAATAATGTTTTTGAACTATAAAGTTTTAAATTGGAATAGAATTTTTAAATTTTAAGATATTTAAAGCTTTACAAGCTTGAAAAAATGTTTATAAAGTTTGTAATCACTTCATATAAACCTTTAGAACCACAAAGTGAAAGCATCGATTCCCTCAAAAAAAAAAATCAAAATAATAAAGTTTTGTGGTTATAATCATCAAAACATTTAAAAACTATGATTGATTGCTTACAAATTCTTATTGAGATCAATTTATTTGGATCATTGAACGCGCGCTGGTGACATAGACATAAATAAAATCATTTTTATTGTATATTTTTTTATCAATTTTACTTTTATTTCTGTTACTGATCATGTGAATTGCAAAGTCGCATTCAAAACGAATGTTGATATTTGATAAGGAAGTGGTGATTTTTGTGCAATTACTGACAAATTAGATGATTTGCAGAAAAAACTTTAAAAACGATTAAATTCAGTAGACATTCGTAATTTTCATTTGAATTTAATTATTGAGATTTGTTAGAAGTCGTCTATAAGAGACGTCACAGGTGGGAAGACTTGAGTTTTCAAGATAATCTTGGTTGTTATTGCAATCCGAAATCATTAGAATGATAATTAACTAGAAAGTTATATTTTAATAAAAGTAAATAGAACAATCCTTAATTGTCTTTAAAATGATAAGAACAATCTTGAACTCTGAATTGAATTGAACTATTCAAATTGAAAACAGAAAAAGTCCCTGATGTTTGTAATAGTTTACTAGAATCTCTTCCCTTTATTTTGGAGCTTTCTTATTATTTATTTTTAAACCTGAATCAATTGTCAATCAAAGACATGTCTTTAAAGCTTTAATCTATAATTATATAAGCCTTATTAGATCAAATGGTGGTTCTAAACGACATCTAAACGAAAGATGAAGCCAGTAAATTCTAGAATATTTTTCATCTCAAAATCAAGTTAATCCTCATTCAATTTATTAAAAAAAAGTAATACATTTCCAGACATTCCCTTAAAAATTTTGATATTCAACTTAATAAAAATGAGTCATAAATTCACAGTAAAAATAAGATCATTAATCAATTCAATCGCAAATCATGTGTCACATATTCAGAGAACAAAAACGGCAGTAAATTCACATAAAGCTTGACAAATTTAATCAAATTAACTAAGCCAATCCCAAAAATCAATTATTGATCTTCCTCTACATATTCTAATCGCATTCATTCATGAATCTCATTTGCATAAAAATAGAATGCACATAATGCATAAAGTAGCTCACCACACTGTTCCAAATCACTGGACACTCATATTTCTAGCTTATAGTTTTTAATTTAATTAAATTTTCAGTTAAGTCGGAAGCTAATTGAAGCTAAATGATCACAATTGACTTAAAACCTACACTTTTCACTTCCAGATGCATTTTGAGAGCTACAGAAACTGGAGAATGATTGAATTTCAAGAAGTTTGAACTTTGATGCGATGCATTCAGTGCTTGTAATGGGAATCTTCATACTGGGGTGGCTCGAAATGTGCAAAAAAAAGAGTCACAACATAAGATTTAATTTGATCTGTTTTGGGTCTTAATTCATTGGAATTTTTATGTTCAGTATAAAATGTCATGAATGGGAAATTATGCTACAACTTTGTAGTCGTGAAAGGTCAAGAGCTCTTCGATAACCTGACATATTTAAGTCAATTTTTATTCATTCGATGACTTGATGAATAATTTTTTGTTTATTCTATGCTTGAAAGTGGTATTTTATACATTGTGAGGCATTAGATTTTATCATTTGGATTCGATTATGTGTTAAGATTAATTAAAATTTAAACGGAATTGTAGAATTCAAATTTTATCGAATTTGTAAAATTTAAATTTTGATGGTTTTGTAGAATTTTAATGTTAACGGATTTGTTGATTTTAAATTATACCGGTTATGTAGAATTTAAATTTTAACAGCTATTTCCTATAATTTTTCAAATTTAACAAATCCGTTAAAATATTATAGCAACTTAACATGTTCCTAATAATTGATGTACTGTCAAAAATCGTGACTTTAATTCCCAAATTCAACATGATATCACTTTCCATAAACAGCTAGACATTCAAATATTTGTATAACTATCAATAACAATTAACATGCTCAACATAAGTTAACTGATACAATTTCTCTAATTCTCATCTTTACAGATAAATCATGAATCGCTTTATAAGTTGGATAACATTTTCCCTCCTAATCATCAACATAAATAACATAGATGCATTCGCGAGAGATCCAAGTAAGTCAGTTGGATGTGAACTAGAAAGAGTCAACAGAATGGTCGGCTATGTCTGCACAAATTTAAATCTTGACAAAATTCCCAAGAATTTGAAGTCATCAACAGAAGTAAGCATTTATTCAATTTACAGCACACAAATGCAAAGTCTATGCTCAATATTGAGTCACAGACAAGCCGCAACATCTCGGCGGTTTAAGTTCTTAATTGAAATTAATTAAGAATAAATTGGTTGTTGTGTACATGCTATACATGCTCATGTGCTTGATATTTTCATTTTAGGTTCTTGACATTTCACACAATCACATCAAAAACCTCTATAGGACATCATTTGAACCTTATTTAGACCTTAGATTCCTTTATCTACAAGAAAATCGAATTAGGGACATTGAGGATGAAACATTTGCAAAATTAGAAGATTTAGAAGCTATAAATCTTTCTGGAAATGGGCTAATTCACATTCCACCTGAAATATTCACGCTTCCACGATTGAGGAACGTTTACCTTGCTGACAATTCATTCAGATCATTTGAAAACATTCAAAGTCCAATCATTGCTCCTTTGCAGAAGCTAGACTTGTCAAGAAACAACATGGACAAGATACCTAAAGAGCTTGGCATTCTACCAAATCTAGTGTTTTTAAATATTTCATCAAATCCATTGAGAGACTTAACGCCACAGCAGTTCTCACCATTTTGTCATTTAAATGAAGTCAACATTACAGACTCAAGGTTGAAGAATATGAAATGTGATTGTGAGAAAGTTACAAGATTTTTGGTGCGAAAGAGGGATATTGAAATTTTTTCATTCTACTGCGATGGAAACTCAGCTGGTAATTTAAACTTTATTTTTTAACGGGTAGGATGAATTTGGAACTTAACAGTCAAAATAAATTTAAAATTATTTTCTTCTTGAATTTGAACCGATTCGTTTTAAAAATAAATTGACAGTTAAATTTCAAATTTTTACTAGCCGTTTTTCAAATATTTTTAAACTGATAATTCAACTTTTAATTTCCAGAATGCAGATTCGACAACTCATCATTTATAGAAACAGACGATTATGAAAAATGCATGAGCATTAGACGAGAAGTGATTGAACATGAAACAGCAAAAGTAACATGGAGCATCATTGGATTTTCAGTATTAGGATTCTTAATAATATTCATTGGATGTCTATACTGCATACATCGTAGGAATGTCAATCAAATGAGGAAAAAAATCATGATTAATAATGCATCAGTCAAACCTAAAATGACAGAAGCTAGCAACAGAGATCCTGTTTCAGACGAATCAATAACTGGAAGTCCTGAAAAATTACTTATTAAGCGATCAGATGTGTAGGACATAGCTTTTAGCATTAAAAATTTATTACATAAGCCAAAGAAATCTCGTGGACAATCCAAAATTTTATATTCTATTAAAAAATTCTTTAATTACAAAAAAAATCAATTTTACTCAAAATTTTCTGTTGCAGGCTTTGCAGGTTCCAATGATAATTCTTCCATTTTTTCAGTCACAATGTCACTTGACTTAGTCGAGCTTTCAACTTGATCGTCAACTTGCTTCTCTACAAAAACTTCATCTTCGCCTTTATCGCTACTGTTTTTACGAGAATCTTTCTTTCCGCGATTCCTTTCGTCACGTGAATCTCGTCTAGACATTTTCTTTTCATCACCTTTTGGCTTGCGATTTGATTCAGAATTTTCATCTGAAGTTGGTCCATTACCATCTGATTTTGTGTCGGATCCTCTTTTTGGTCTATAAATTTGAATCGTTGGACGGTCTTTATTGCGGATTTGACGCTGTGCTCGTTCATCCTTTTCTCGTTGACGTCTTATTTCACGCTGTTCCTGGATCTTTTTCCATCTTGGATCTTCTTGCTTACTGTCTGTTTCATCTTTATTGTCTGTTGGTTCCATTTTTTCAGCATCTGGCTTGGATTCTTTAGTGTGCTTGCCTTTATCATGTTTATTGGAACTAGATTTTGCTGCATTCTTTCTTTCTTCCTTTTGTCTAGCACGTTTATCTCTCAGTTCCTGAATTCTTTTGAATCTAGCGTCTTCCTTGTCATCAGACTTACTAGGTTCACTTTTTTCAGCCAGCTCTTCCTTGAATTCCTCTTTTTCAACTGATTTAGCATTTTCATCGACATTTTCAGGCTCTTTTGGGTCATTTTTCTCTTGACGTGCTTTACGCAATTCACTGTACCTTTTAATTTCACGTTTTGGTGGTTGTGATGACTGTGAAGCTTTTGGCGGTTCTTCAACAACATTTTGAGTCTGTTCGACTTTCTTTTCAGCATTTTTAATAGCTGCAGCTGCTGCTTTTTCTTTCTTTTCTTCACGTTCTTTAGCTCTCTGCTGATCTCTTTCCTGCTTCCGTTTTTCATCTTTTTCACGAAGAAATTTCTTTCTTTCATCGCGTTCCTTTTCTCTCCTTTCACGCTTTTCTTTATCAGCATTTTCTTTTTCCACTGATTTACTGTCGCTTTTTGAATCCTTCTTTGAATTTTTATCATTACGACCGAGTCGAGATGGAACTGTACGGACCATTATGCCATCGTCATAGACAATTTCTTCTTTTGACTCTTTTATTGACTCTGGAATATTTTTAACAATTTGTATCTTTTTCTTTTGTTTATCATCATCACGCTGTTTCTTTTTGTCCTCGATTTTCTTTTTCTAAAATAATAGCAATAAGATCCAGTAAGATTAAAATTAGAATTTAACGATTTTTAAGAATTTGAATTTTTAAAACCTTCCAACAGTTATGAAATTGTCTCAATACCATACAAATGTTTTAATTGAATTTGTATGGTTTTTGATATTCAAATTTTAAAAAACTGTCAAGTTTGGAAATATTTTCAGGCATAAAAATTTTGGAGAATCTAGTTCTATTAACAAAAACTCAATATATGAATTTACCTTTGCCTCACGCTTCTCTTCCTTAGCAGCAGCCAGAAACTCCAAAAGTGGTGTTGATGTGATTTTCTTATCGTCTTTTATTTGATAACTGTATTCAAGTTTTGGTTCTGTCTTTTGTGCCTCAGTTTCCTCTAGCTTTAGCATGTCCAAAAAGTTAAGGAAGTGCTGTTCAGTTTCAATTGTGCCTGCATGTTTGTCCTTTTTTCGTGCTCGTGACTTTGGAAGTCCTTGAAATGGAGCATATTCTACAATCGCTGGATATTCTGTGCCTCTAACATTGTCAATAAACACGTACTCATCGAATTTCTCCTTGAAAATGAAGATCTGTGGAATAAATGCTTGTTAATTAATTGTTTTAATTTATATAATTAAGTTTCTTACATCTTCCTGATTCTTGAATTCAATATATGCACGAGATGTCGACTCAGCACCTAATGACCAATCAGCTTTCACAAAATAAAAGTCTGTATAGTCAGGAATCGGCGAAATTATTTCAAGAAACTGCTCGCTGCTCAAATTTGGAGGTAATTTCCTAATAACGATCTTATTCAAGAATGTCTTAATCTTCTTTACCTCCCTTGCCTTCTTTACATCCTTATCAATTGACTTTTCAGTCTTTGCCATGTCCTCTGGCATTCCTTTTAATTCTTTCTGTGATTTTTTGTGATTATTTATCAATTTTCACTAGTTTTGAAGCCCGTCAAAAAAACAACAAATAATTTGAATTATAAAAATACGTTAAAAACAACGGCTTTATTTTAAGAACTAATAATAATAAATTTGGACATGTCTATTCATCGATTTCTATAATATCCTCTTCAGACTCTTCCTCACTTGTCTCACTCTCTTCAACCTCATTTTCGTTATTATATTTCCTTAATTTGCGCTCTAAATAGTCAACTTCTGAGTAAAGCTCATTAATTTGACGTTGAAATTTGATCGTTTGATTCTCCATCTGTAAATAAAATTAAATACAGCTTATTTTACAGACATAATTAGTAGCTTTACCTTTTTATCATAATATTCTTTAAGGTTCTTCACATCATTCTCATTTCTCTTAACAATCTGTTCACGAATTTCTTTCTGTTTCTCTAAAATCTGCATTCGCATGACAACAATCTCCTTTTCTCTTTCCACATACTTCTTGCTTAGTCCATCAATAAACATTTTTTGAGAACGCAACTCATTACGCAGTTGATCAGCGCTCATTGAGCTCCATTTGAATGAATCGTCTAGTTCTGACTCGTCGTTACTTTCGTATGCTTCAACGCTGAAAGGAATTTAGGCACAATTCAAATTACAGAGCTTTACAAATGTTTAAATTGTCTGAAACCCTACAAATGATTTGAAAATGTTCCAAAACCTTACAAATGTTTCAAAATTGACTTCCAAAACCTTACAAATTCAAAAATTGGCAATTAAATAGACAGTGTCCTACTTACATGCTCTCGTTTTTCATCGAACTGTTCAGCATTGACGAGTGTTGCATAAGATATGAATATCTAGATGATTGTCGCTTAAATGTACGAACTTCCGACTTCTTAACCACAATTTGATTGGCAATGGAACCAAATTTGAGTACATTTAGATTTTCCTCAAGAAATTCAGCAGTTGGATATAAATTAACAATCATGACGAACTTTTCATGTCCAGACAACGATCTTTGTAAGAGAAATGTGAGTTTTGAGTCACGTACAGGAACAACACGATCTGGATGTTTCTTATTCTCTTTATTTTGATTCTGATTGACTGCTTCAAGGCATCTACCGAGGACGAGTAATGAATTGTTAATTCCACCAGCTTCTTTAAGTCTATCGCCCATATTTCCAGTCTTTTTAGTACGTTCGGCTCCAGCCAAGTCACAGAATTTAAAGCTAGACAATTGATAATCCATCGAAGACTCAGAAATCATGTTGATTGTAAGAATTGTATGTGATCGGCTTGAATGATCATTAATTCCAGTTGCTGCATATTTTATGTGATTTAAGCCATGTCGTAAGATCTTAAAAGCTGTGTCTATGTTAGGAGCAAATAACCATGTGGCTCCATGAATGTACGAGTTGCCACCATTCGAAAATATCTTTAATGGTCTGACTGTATTCTTAGAATTAGTCAATAAATCAGTAATCTTTTCATTATAAATCTCAACAAAGGATATCCAGATATAAAGTCGATCAATTTTATTCTCCACGCTGTCCTTTTCTTTAAACTCATGTTCAGCATTGACTTCTACGTGTGACCAATTCTTTACAGGTTTTCCTTTAATCAGCTTGGTGGACTCAAGGAGGAAATCAGCCAATGTTTCAATCTCATACTCAACATTCTCATCACTAAGGATCGAAATCTGATCATTAAGGATCTTTGCGCATGGATATGGAGCAATAACTGAATCATATTCCGTAAATATTTGCGTAATTGCTCTAGGGACAAGTCCAGCTGAATTATCACCTAATATTGTATAAGTCTTGCCAGATGAAGATACTCCATAGCTTGCAAATGTACTTCCACTAATATCAAACGGATTTGTAAGAATCGGACGAACAATCTCATCATAAATTTGAATCTGATCTACTTTATCATTAAAAATTGATGTAAATTGATAGTGCTTTTCAGTGCTTGTTAGCTGATTAAGCTGTGACGCTTGTGGAATGATTACTGTATTGTCGTTGAACTTATAAAAATTGCATTGTTCCTTTATTGGACGTAATCTCAAGTAAACATTGATATTTTCAGTCTGTTTAGCTTTTGGAACTTCCGACAAGTCAAAATCATTGACTGACTCCTCATCATCTGCTGTATATGAGCTTAATCCGCGAGGTTTTACTGGAATTTAATGAATTAATTTATATTTTTGTGAAAATGTTCGATAATTTACCTTCTGTATTCTCTGGAAGTGCTATTATTGGTTCATTAAAGGTTGGTCTTGTAAAGTCTAGGTGCCTCGCCTTCTTTTGGAGTGGATAATAATCCATAATCTCTAGTATTTTAATTAAAATCGACGGTATGAGTTTAAGTGTTAAAAAATCTGTTAAACTTGTTTTTTTTTGAAAAAAATTTAAATTTGTTTCCCGTGATGACAAAAGTTTTGAATATTTTTCTACCGTTAAACAATCTTTGGTATGTAGTCACTTGAGATTATTAATTTAACACTCATACATTAGATATTACTATTTAATATTGATTGACTTAATAAAATCATAATTAGATTTACCAAATTGTCGATAAATGCAAGAATGATTATAACAGTTTTTTGAAATTTGAATCGACAATCTGAGGTTGATGAAACAGGGGCTTTAACTTACGAGACGGTAATTTCTTTCTTTTTCAATTCCCCTCAGAAAAAATGGGTGCGTAAATTTTTTAAATAAAATAAATATTGCTGTAATTAAGTGATTTTAATAGCTCAATTACATCAAAACTTGTTAAATAAGTCGAGATCTATGTGGTGAAGATAAATGCAATAAGTAAAACAATGAATTTCATTAAATTTTCAAATGATTTTCCTTTCGTTTGGCACGTGTTTTATATTTCTACTTAATTCATGTGTTTATACACAATACATCCTTAATTAAACTACTTTTTCGTGAACAATTTGACGTCTGTAACATTAATATTGCATTTTTTATAGATCCCGACAAAGTTTTAAAATCTTGAGAAAATTTTGTATTCAAACAATTGTTTAAAGCATATATCCTTAATTGTAGGTAAACCTCGTGGAATTAGAACAGCTCGTAAGCTCAAGACACACAGACGTGATCAACGATGGGCCGATAAGGATTACAAAAAGGCTCATTTGGGAACTCGCTGGAAGGCAAATCCATTCGCTGGTGCATCTCATGCCAAAGGAATCGTTCTTGAAAAAGTGTAAGTATCACATCCAGTAAATCTAGTGAAATGATTAGCAGCATGTTTGTGTGTCTATTCACGGTATTATCCATGTGAAGTTGGTGCTTACAATTTCCAATCACAGGATTATACTGTGAGTAGCTGCGCGCCTGAACAATCAACAGACAGCTACTAGTAGATTAAGACTCAATTTAGTACTGTAAAGGTAATAAATTGTCCTTTATTTACAGCGGTGTTGAAGCCAAACAGCCAAACTCTGCTATTCGCAAATGCGTCCGTGTACAGTTAATCAAGAATGGAAAGAAAATCACTGCATTCGTACCCCGTGATGGTTGCTTAAACTACATTGAAGAAAACGATGAAGTTTTGGTTGCTGGTTTCGGTCGTAAAGGTCATGCCGTTGGTGACATTCCCGGTGTTAGATTTAAGGTAAGCAATTGACATATCAAGCTTTAACTTAATGTCCTTAGAATGATGAGCAAATTTTATCTCAGAGCCAATCCCATGACAATATTCAATGATTAATACTTAGAGATTCTGATCTTAACTTCCTTCATACTCTATAATAAGCAGCTAGTCGAGCAATCATACTAATTAAATTTATTTCTGTATATTCCCAACAGGTTGTTAAGGTTGCAAACGTTTCACTCCTTGCACTTTACAAAGAAAAGAAGGAACGACCAAGATCATAAGCTGTAATATGCTGGATATTTCAATGATTATATTGAATTTCTAATAAAGCTACATAAAATCCAATGCTTTTGGTTTATTAAAGAAATACTTTATTTTATTTTTCTTAACTTTTCAGCATTCGCTTTGATTTGAATCAGTATAAAAGTACAGCAATAAGCACATACAACCTTAATTTTTGAGGTAACTGGATCACTTCCAGAAATTTGGATTTTGTTCAAGTCTTCTTTGGAAGTTTTGGAACCAGGTAGCGAGCGTTGATAACGGTACGTATGTTTCGGCTGGATTTGGTGTCATTTGTGCCTGATTTATTGTAAAGGAACTAGCATAATTGAAGAGATTCTCTAACATGCGCTTGCCAAACTCGAAATACGTTGTAACTTCATTTGTTGCAGCCATTGTTGACTGTTGTGCTATAGACATCTCTGGCTCAATAGATATGCCTATTTGAGCATCATGGGATATAGCACCTTCTCCAAACTGCATCACTGTCTCTTGTGTCTCAAGTTCATGTAACTTTTTTAACTGTGAAATCTTAAAAATAGCTGATGGTTTTGCATTGCTTATGTAGCCTAAATATTGCCATTTTGAAGGATTTATTGGATCTGGCCAACTCCAATAAACTGCTGCTGCTGATCCAGCTGGCAATGGAATACTTCCAGTGAGAAAAGTGACTATGTAATTAATGTTGTCAGCATCCGAAATGTTAATTAAGAATTTCGTGCTATCAATTTGTTGAAAGTCTGTTTGAACTAGTCGTCCACTTATAATCAAGCCAAAGCATGAAGCCATGCTCACTAATATGTGACTATTTAATGTAATTAAGCTAAATTTGGAGTACTTTTGAAATGTTATTTACTCTTTTTTTCGCGAAAACAACAGAAAAGCCTAGAAGATGGAATTAAAGTTATGCACGTATGCTTTTGAATATATTTTGTCCGTTGATTTTTGTAAAGCTGTATGTTTAAGGTATAGAAGTGGAAGGTGATGTCTTAAATACCGGAATTGCAAATTAAATCATTTTTCAGAGCCATTCAACAGCTTTTTAAAACTTCAAAACCCTTCAACAGCACTAGTTTACAACATTTGTATGGTTTTGACATTTAAATTTGAAAATTAACTGTCACAATACCGAAAACATCTCAACAGCAAAAGTTTTCGTGTTAAAATTTGAAAAATAACAGTTGATCTTCAAAAACCTCTCAACAGCTGTTTTTATTGAACATTTGAATGGATTTGAATTAAACATTTCAATAAATAGCTGTTATTTCAAAATCTTCGACTGGTTTATGTAATTACATTGTTTAAAGGTTCCAATAGACTTAAAAATATTAATAATGACTATAAAACATTGAATTATTCCTGAAAAAGTCAATTACCGCCTACAAAAAAAAAACCGCGCGATGTCAATTTTAGATCCTTTTCAACTTTTTCACAGCAGTTGATTGCAATTAAACTTCTTCTAACCAACAAGTGCTTCAAACTTAAAGACCTGCCACTTAACAATTGATGGACACGACTAAGTTTGTCAAAAAAAACTTCATGCAGGAAAAATTGAAATAAATTAAATTATTTTTGGACACAAAGGCATGAACAAAAAAATTATATGAAAAATCATGGCATGAAAATTAATTAAAATCATAACATCCACATGCACAGCAACAAATTGAATCGTAAATAGTTTGGGAGTAGGAGAAAGTTTTAATGGATTATTTCCATGCTTCCTTTAATTAAAATGTTCCTACAGGACTAAGCATATCCAACAAAACATTCATCATATTTCCACTTATAAGTAATGACACTTATTTAACTATGTCATGAAGGATGTGAGTGGGGGTCTGTGGGTCAAACAAATACATTTTTGGAGCTTGGGATGATGTGTTGCTGACTGTAATTTAATTGCCATTTACCACAGCTTTATGTACATTCAAATTGATTTGTAAACTTTTTTTGGGGTATGGGAAATAAAAATGTAAAGCAACGAACATTAAGCTATTACATGAAAAATTATGGGAATGTCTTAATTAATGCTTCATCTTGACACATAATTCCATGGAATTTAAAACACGAATTTTCAATTTTCCCAAAAAAAGAAAACTTTTCCATTTGTTTGCAATTTAAATGCTATACATCTACACATGATCTATTTGGTAAGCATAGTTGAATGGAATTAAACAAAATAATAATGTAGGAAATCCGGAAATCCCTTGTGGAGACATATTCTCCGTAAAACATGACATTAAATCTCTTCCATTAAAAAATAAATGTTACAAAAAATTTAAGGAATTACATATCTGTGTCTTTTTTTTGCTGTTTTGGGGGGATGGATTGTGATTTGCTCTTGCTGAAACTATCTTTATGACATTATAGAATGTTTAAATGTTTAATGAAACGGCTATAAATGAGCAACAAAAATAACCTTTTAAAAGCTTTGATTGAATATTCATGTCACAAGTGGACGTGAAGTACGGCCGAGACCCATATCGACACAGTTCAAAAGTTATACCTAATTTATGTCATAATTATGTCAGCTACAAAAACACTTAGTTTGAATTTTGTCACCCTCGGGAACACTATGAACCAGTATAGCTGATTTTGGTCCAAATCTCGGCCATACTTCACACTTATTTGAACAACATTTTCTCGTAAATGTTATAATATTATTAAAAAGTAATTAATCCTGAATTATTTCGCTATTTAGTCAAGTGTTTTAAGATAAAAAAATTTTTTTTTGGTTTCGACAGTGAAGAGTATGAACAAAATTCAGATGGGGTAGTCGAAATTTTAGATTTCGATTTTTTTTAAGCTATGCATTACAAAAAGTAATATTGGTACTGGAGCACTGGAATTGGATAAACCTTCGAAGAAAAAAGTGACAAAATTGATTTTGACTAAGGTCGCCCCTAGTCCAAAATTGAAAATGTATTTCCTACTTGGTTCTTTGCTCAAAAAAACATTTAAGATGTTTTATTTCTATTTGTTTTAAGCATTAGAATATTTATGCAAAGCTTCAATCTATTTGGAAAAACCCTCGAAGAAAAAAGTGACAAAATTGATTTTGACTAAGGTCGCCCCTAGTCCAAAATTGAAAATGTATTTCCTACTTGGTTCTTTGCTCAAAAAAATTTAAGATGCTTTATTTGTATTTGTTTTAAGCATTAGAATATTTATGCAAAGCTTCAATCTATTTGGATAAACCCTCGAAGAAAAAAGTGACAAAATTGATTTTGACTAGGGTCGCCCCTAGTCCAAAATTGAAAATGTATTTCCTACTTGGTTCTTTGCTCAAAAAAACATTTAAGATGTTTTATTTCTATTTGTTTTAAGCATTAGAATATTTATGCAAAGTTTCAATCCATTTGGATAAACCCTCGAAGAAAAAAGTGACAAAATTGATTTTGACTAAGGTCGCCCCTAGTCCAAAATTGAAAATGTATTTCCTACTTGGTTCTTTGCTCAAAAAAACATTTAAGATGTTTTATTTGTATTTGTTTTAAGCATTAAAATATTTATGCAAAGTTTCAATTCATTTGGATAAACCCTCGAAGAAAAAAGTGACAAAATTGATTTTGACTAGGGTCGCCCCTAGTCTCAAATTGAAAATGTATTTCCTACTTGGTTCTTTGCTCAAAAAAATTTTAAGATGTTTTATTTGTATTTGTTTTAAGCATTAGAATATTTATGCAAAGTTTCAATCCATTTGGATAAACCCTCGAAGAAAAAAGTGACAAAATTGATTTTGACTAGGGTCGCCCCTAGTCTCAAATTGAAAATGTATTTCCTACTTGGTTCTTTGCTCAAAATAATTTTTAGATGTTTTATTTGTATTTGTTTTAAGCACTAGAATATTTATGCAAAGTTTCAATCTATTTGGATAAACCCTCGAAGAAAAAAGTGACAAAATTGATTTTGACTAGGGTCGCCCCTAATCTCAAATTGAAAATGTATTTCCTACTTGGTTCTTTGCTCAAAATAATTTTAGGATGTTTTATTTGTATTTGTTTTAAGCATTAGAATATTTATGCAAAGCTTCAATCTATTTGGATAAACCCTCGAAGAAAAAAGTGACAAAATTGATTTTGACTAGGGTCGCCCCTAGAATATTTATGCAAAGTTTCAATCCATTTTTATAAACCCTCGAAGAAAAAAGTGACAAAATTGATTTTGACTAGGGTCGCCCCTAGTCCAAAATTAAAAATTGATTTTCTATGTTGTACTTTGGTCAAAAAATTTTTTGGATGTTTTATTTGAATAAATCACATACCAATATTACTGTTTGTAATTCATAGCTTAAAAAAATCGAAATCTAAAATTTCGACTACCCCATCTGAATTTTGTTCATACTCTTACTGTGGAAACCAAAAAACAAATTCTTTTTCTTAAAACACTTGACAAAATAGTGACATAATTCAGGATTAATTACTTTTTAATAACATTTTAACATTTACGAGAAAATGTGGTTCAAATAAGTGTGAAGTATGGCCGAGATTTGGACCAAAATCAGCTATACTAATTCATAGTGTTCCCGAGGGTGACAAAATTCAAACTAAGTGATTTTATAGCTGATATGATTATGACATAAATTAGGTATATTTTTTGAACTGTGTCGATATGGGTCTCGGCGTACTTCACGCCCACATGTCACAAAAGTCTAGAAATGACGCTCAAAAGACTAATAGAATCAACACAAGCTAATCATATTCTCAAATGAGGAAGTAAATAAATGTAAAGTGACAGTTATTTAACGGAAAATATTTGAATTTGAATTATTCAGCGGTTCAGTCTTTAATGTATTTCGATTTCCTTGTCGATTTCATTGACTAAGTTCACTCATTTACCATCTATGGAATCTTAATTTACTAACTCAAACAGTTGGCTTCATTTCAGTAAGCTACAATCAGCTAAATCGTATTTTCTGAACTACATGAATTTTTAACGTATTATAATTTTTTGAAATTTGACTGTTGTAGAGGTTTGGGTTTTCAAAATTCGCTCATTGCTCTTTAAATGATGGGTCTGAATTAAGCATTTCATATGTGTGTCAATTTCTCTTTGTTTCTAGTCGCATCGTCAAAATTCAAAACAAAAAGTGAGAACATTTTTAACACAGAATAAAATATCTAGAATGGAAAATTATGTGGATTGATAGTTGTACAGATGGGAAAATGACAAAACTAGGAAAAGAACAAATTTTTACCCAGTAAATGCAAAAAGTCAGAGACGAGTAGGAAATTTAATGCTCATGCTGGAAAAGTGTTTTATATAATAAATTTTTATCCACTAAGAACTCCTTTTTTATCCTTTTATAAATCCCTCTTTTTGCATATAATATCATGATACTGTTATCCTTACTATTCACTACAAAGATTGGTCACAGGAAGTGTTTTGTTTGTGTGATATGAGTGTTAAAGGGAAGAACGGAGACAGTTTGCTGGGAAAATGGGGAATAGAGGATCAAATAGTTCGATTTTTGGATGTTTTTACGCTGCAATACCATTTAGTCAACTTTAAATCATTCGCAAATATTTAACTGTTATTATTGATTTAAATTTGAAAACTATACAAACGTTTTTGAGATTTTGAAACATTTGTATAGTTTCTAAATTTAAATTACCAAAATCCGTTGAAAATTGATTAAGTTTCAATATACTTCAACCCCAAATAGCCCCTAACCACAAAGTAAAGTGTAATGTATATCAAAACGAGAGCTTTCTTGGTAAATATTGTGTATGACAAGACTGTAATTAAATTACAAAACAGATTTATTACAAAAAAGAGAAAGAGAGTAGAAGGGAAGAGCCATAATCCTTTTCAGTCAGAACTGTGATTTTGTATGCGGAGCACATAAAATGGAACAGAGTGATCCCAAGAACACAATAAATTAGAATTAAACCTTGGCACTGGAAA